AACCAGACTGGGTCGATGATTTCAGTATCGAAGGACTTCCGTGTGAATCATGATTTTCAAATTGTTCATCGGCTGGTGACCAAATATTTACGGCCACACTAAATGGACACGTTTTTTTTCTGAAGCCCAAAAAATTATTTCTGTATGTCAAGTGCTATTCGATTTTTTACAGAGCATGTGGCTCGTTTTTCATTCGAAAATATGTTTGTGAGAATACTTTTTAAAGTACGTATAGATCGAGCTCAGATCACTGATCGTGACTTAATTTTGAGAATTGGTTGTCAAATTTTACCAGACCGACGCCACCACAACCATCCAATCATATGTTGGAAATGTACGCACTTGTTTTGGAACTTTGTATCAAGATGACTGGCGACGATGCCGACGCACCAGGCGGCGTACGTGTGTGTTGCATGTTTTAGTAGTCCGGGCATGGGGTCGGATTCGGCTAAAACTAAACGAAACACAGAAAAATACCACCGAAATGAGGAATCTGAATCTGCTCTTCTAGCAGCAAATAAAATGAGCGAAAAAAGGTAAATTTTATAACAAGAACAGTTTCACTTCGTATACAGCAAATTGCAAATTGCATCGTGTGATTTGAATTTATCACGATTTTCCTTCCAGTCAATATGAAACTCGTCACCTTGCCGATTGTAATGTACTTCGCAAAGTTTTTGGTGCCCAATACTCGCAACACTAAAATAATTAAACAAGATATCTTTTTAAAATGTCATTTTACTTTTGATCATATTATTTTATTCGCCTTGAATTTCAAATCGATTACATATCGAACTTCTGTACATGTTTTTGTCTACTGCCCTTCTGCGTGCAAATAATGAGGTCATACTCATGTCACAATAAATTGAAGCTGATGCCATGTTGATGCCATGAAACTGCGAAGCTGAGCCACGATGATGCCACAAAATAGCGAGGCGACACAGCTTCAATTTTCAATGACGCGAAGCTGATGCACATGATGCGATGCTGAGGCGACAATGAAGCCATGCGTAGGCGACAATGATGCCACAAAAGCCAAAGCTTCCGCGAGAACTGTACTGTACATACCTCTTATTAGCTCTTGCAAACATATTATTCACAATGGTAAGAAACTGCATTATTCTCTCATCTAAATGTAGATCTTCCAATCCTTTGAAGAGATATGTGTACTTCTGACCATCAGATCCAATGAACACCAACTTCTTTGGTTTAGTTTTAGTTGGTAATATTGTTACACTTGTGGAAAACGATTCTATTGTCACCACCTGTCAATAAAAAAATTAAAAAGTATTTATTAACATTTTTATACTTTTATTATAGCATATTTCACATTCAAAGGTTTTTTCTTTGCTATACACGAGACATAACATTATCCGGTAATTCATTTGATGAATAGCACCCTCTATGGTTCACTGGTACAAATGACCATCTCGTTCTCATTCAACCAATTTAAATGCACATTTCAGGTTATATGCCCAGTTATTTCTCCTCAAAAATTTTTTCACAATAATGTGATTGTTCATAAACTACATA